GGAATCATTGTTATATTCGGTGGCAATTCATGGCAATAGAATCATATTGTTTGACCAGGCAAAAGATTAGTTAATTAAAGATCTAGCACACCAAACAATAATTATATATTATTTTATTAAACATATTCTTATGTGCATTATTAATTTTCATTACAAATTAGATTTATTCAACATTTAAAAAGTTTAATTTAAAAATATATACAATATTATATTACTATTACAGGCCATCAATAAGTATTCTTGGTCTCATACCCATGTTTTATTTTGTTAATTGCATAAGGGTATTTTCGGGTTGTCCCAAATTATACAAGTGAAACACGCACATAGCTATCGCTTTTAATAAAAGAGATATTTGATGTCATATTTACTTCAATATATTTTATTGAAGCTATGCCTGGCTATAATTAGCTAATATTTCCAGTGGTGGCACCAGCAGTGGGGACATCCCCCCCCCTTAAAATATTTTTCAAACCAAGAATATTTATTAAATATGGCCTAATAAATAAATTAAAATTAACACTCACACAACATTCACACATTATAAGTCCTACACAAAGTTACTTAATGAATTTAATATCATGGCAATTGTGCCAATTATGTTGTTCTTGAACAACTGTCTGAGTGGGTTTTTGCTTTATTTGGGCACACAATTTTTGTATGCCCTCTTTTAAAACATATCCAGCATACCATTCCTAGTAAATGTAACAAAAAATTTTAATATAGAGGGGCCACAAAAAATTTTTGACCAGTGAAGGGGGGGGGGCAGAAAATATTTTGAACATAAAGGGGGGGGGGGAAATAAAATCTATGGAATAGTTTGTAACATGCAATATCAAAAGAGTGATGGATATATACAGTATACATACATTGAACAGTAATGCCCAATATATTGAACCTCAATATACATACATTGAACAGTAATGCCCAATATACAGGGCTTTCAGTTTTGTGTGAGGCTCTGGCTAATGGCGATGAAGCTATGGCGAAAGGGAAAAGCCTAACAATCATTCCTGTACATGGATTACATATTTAACATGGATTATATATATATAAACGTAAAAGCTCTGGCGAATTTGGGTGGGGTTGAATGAAAAAGTCTGGCGAAATTCGCCGTTCGCCGGCCTAAACTGAAAACCCTGAATAGATTGAACCTAAAAGTTTTGTTCTAGGCACTGTATATGGAAATTGTCATCCTCATCATCACCAAAGAATTTGTCTAAAGGGTCATGCACTGCATTTGCAAATGCAAGATTCAATTGACAGTTGTTGTCCTGCTTTTAACACAGTGGACCTCTTTCGCATGTTCTGTTTCTGCATGTTGTTGACAGTCAGTCTCTTCTGCCATCTCTTCAATATACAGTAATGCTTCCACCAGACACAAAAGTATTTTTTTCAATTAGTAAAAGTAGGTCTGATGTGTGGGTTTTTTGTTTGAGGACCGACAACTTTTCAGGTATAAAGTCTGAATTATCTACTTGGCTATCGTTTTCAATATTTACAATATTCTTTATTTTCAATATTTACAATATTCTTTACATCTGCAAGTAAACTGAGTATGAGGGCAGGAAAAATGGTTACGAAATTGACTTAGAGTAATTGAATTCAGAATTGGGGTGGAGGGGGGGGGCTATGAAATATGTTGCCTCAATAAGGGGGGGGGGATAGTTTGTTAGAAAAATAAGGGGTCATGAAAAATTTTTGCTATTCATAAAAATTTCCACCAGCCCCCTACCCGGCATTAATAATGACTTGTCCCTTAGCAAAGAATGTAAATCATGCACACTGTTACATATAACACTTTAATTAACTCGCACCAATGACCTGAGCAAACCGTTGTGTAACTATTGTTGGTATTAGCATCCGGTCTCAATACTAATTTCTGGCTTTTGCCCTTTATCTCATACATATCAGCACTAAAGTGATCTGAACACAAACAACTACTTTTCACAGGAACAGACTTCACTGGCGCGTGTTTATTCATATACTCAACCCATATGCTGTACAATTCTGGATGCTTCTTTGCATCAGGAATGCTTAAATATGTGAAGGGAAAAAATTCAATAACAATATGCTTTTATAAATACAAACAGGCCTATAAAATACACTGTACAGTAGGTAGGAAAAACGCACACGAGAACATCACAAGGAACAATGGAAATATAATATTTGAATGAAACAAACTGCATGCAAAAACCTCAGAAAAGAAGCCATAGTCGAGAAAAGCTGGTGACACATGCACGTGAACAAAACATAAACTACCGTTTGCTTTACATTGTCATTTGCAGAAAAAAACTTCTCGAATGATAGCACAAAATAATATTTCCTTACCAGTGACAGTGTGAATACAGTCCCGGTCTTTGTCAAAGGAGTTGTGACGACCATAAACCGAGCAAACGCGGCATGTTGACAAAATATAAAGTTGTGAAACTTGATAGTTTAATAATTACACAGTGTATACTTTTTGCATCCAGGGGGGTGCGAAAACAGGTGGCGTTAAAAAATATTATGTGGTCAGTGGTAAATCGCCCGAAAATAGTGGACGCGGAGCTCGAAATCCGCCATGTTTTTGCGGACACTTTTTTGTTTGACGAGATATGGGAGCACGATCTCCAGATATATATAGTAGAGCTCAGTGTCGGGGGCCCTTAGTTATTGCCCTAACCCTACCCTATGTTCGTTACGCCACTGTCTAATCACCGCCTAATATATGTGCTATATATGTCATACAGTGATTATGAAGACTTTCTTGTAAATAAATATAAATATTATCTAGTTTTTCAGTATATATAACTCCTCCTAGTGTAGTATAATACTGTTTTAGGAGTATTTCATTAAAGCATGGTCTATGGCATAGGCTAGGTCATAAGGTCATTTAATGACCTCTCAACTCTCACGCATTCGGCGTGAGTCTCCCGCAATTCGCTTCAATCTCACGCTCTCACGCCACGTTTAGTAAATCTCACGCATATAGCAGTTTCATAGTATTTTTTTCAATAATATAATATTGTATTCTTAAATGCACATTATTAATCATCATACGGATCGCGAGTCGAATATATAATCGCGTGTTCTTGTTCCAGCATATACGGCCCGACAATTTGCCCGCAATTTGGATACAAAATAGTAGATATAGGTAAATATGGCGGACAAAAGGCAGAATCAGTCCGAGCAGAATTCTATATGTAAATTATCAAAGCCAAATTAAAGCTGATTACTGTATGTCACAGAAATACAGTTATTGTAACTAAAGTGCCTTGTCTTAAAGGACGTTATGAAGCAATGTATTTCATTAAAAAAACCTCAACTCTCATGATAATGTACGAAATGCCATTTCAGACCCCCGGACGTTTACAATTATAAAAGGTGCATGTCATCCACATCCCCAATCTCACTCTTAACTTCTCTGCAAAGTTGAGAGGTCTGTCATTACATTGCCTGAAAATTTGGGCAAGCTTTCAAGAGTTCCCTTCATGAAAGTATCTGCTCCACATATATGTTTATGTTCATCCAGGGGCTTAGGATGTTTGATAATTTTGAAATTTATAGTCTCTAAATCGCCGGAAATGGCATTCTCAGTTTCTTCTGTACCTCTTTTGTGAGGCCTATACTATTTATAAGTTTATTTTTACTGGTTTAAGTGGTTTTAGAAATCCTTGCAATTTCCTTTAATTTTAGTATTTTTCCTTGCCATTTCCTTGTAAAACGCATTTCCTTGCAAATTCCTTGCAAGTCTTGCAAGGTTTTGCAAGGAACAGCTGGGAAATTTGTTGCGCATGCGCCAGATTTCTATTGAAATTTGAAGATTTCCCCGAAGAAATATTAGGAGATGTTCGTTTGTATATTTTTGAATAGTTTTGTATAAAGATTAAACAGGCGTTTAATCTTTATACTTTTTTTGCTTGAAACAAAGACAAAGTAAAATGTACTCTACGTTTCCAGTGTATAGAATATCTCGTTTGAACAGAAATAGAACTTTATAATCTTGACACAAACAAGAAGACATTTGACACACTAAATCTGTAGTCATGCCTGAGGTATAAAAGCCAATCGTCGCGAGCTTATTAACAGCCTTGTCAAACGCAAAACAAGTACAAATTTGGGTTGAAACAGAAAGAAGTTCAATGTTAATACAACTAACATATATTCTATACAAATACGGGTGCTTTAAAATGTTTTCAATTGAATTTTCAAAGCTTTTATCTATCGCTATGATAATCAAACTGTGAAAATGCCGTAGTTTTGTTGACGCTTGCGAATGCAAAATAACTTCCCGTAAACAGAACATTTCTACACAAAACTCTCGCTTAGTCTTCTGATGCACTTGTACGTTCGGTTCTATACTAGTTAAACAAGGAAAATATTCAAGAAACACTGGTAAATTATCGTTGTCAAAAAACATTTCAGTGCTGAGGCAGTACAAGGTCTCAAGGGCAAGGTCAAGTTGTCGATTTCATTACATTTTACAGTACTTCGAATGTTTTCGAACTCTTGCTTCATACAAGAGCAGTAAACGCACGCATTTCAAAGCGAAATTAGACGCAAAGGGGCAATTTTTCAACAAAATTCATTGTTAAATTATGCTTCCTATGTGCCTTGGGAGCAAAAAAATATGATTTTAAATTTGGAGGAATCGGTAATTTTTTTTGCAATTTGGCCTGGTATTGCACCCTACCTATGTAATGACTGTGCTGTAAAAGTAATCAAATATACTATTTTGAATTTCCCTTCATTGAAAGGATCTACTATTGTGGACTAAACTAAATTTTAATCAGCATACAAGGCTGCAAACAACAGCCAAGAATTAGCTGGGTAGTTTGTAAACTTTAAAAATAATTGGACCTCAAACTTTGATCCCCAAAAGTAAACAAATGGCCAATACTGCGAACATAATCCAAGTTTTGACCACTAGGGGCAATTTTTAGATGTAAAAAAACTTGTTTAAATTACATATCAAACAAAGGCAAAACAAAATTTGGTATTAATTTTTTGGAGGAAACGTCAAGGTTTTTTGCTATCCGCGCACGCTTCTACACCCCCTCCCCCAGGATCCTCTCTATCAGAAAACAGTTTACTGCAGAAACTATGCTTTTTTATCGGGAAAATTTTTACTTTTCTCAAAAGAAAAATTTATAAACACGGAAACCTTAAATATTTAAATAATTTTCATACCTTTTTGGGATTGCAAAAAGCAAAATTTGATTCATTATCACACTTTTTAAAATATATGTGACAAAGTTGCTTCGAAATCACTATCACGCAGTAGCATGTTTATTTACCCTCATCCTTTTGACCGAATAAAGTTTATCTTTTTGAAAAGCTATTTGTTTTATAGCTCTTGGTTAGCAGTTTACGTTCATGTCGATTTTGGCACCCATGAGGCCAACAAGTTATGGCAATCGGCGAATGAAAACTGATATTCGAAGAGCACAAAAGCCAACTCCTAGCTATGTAACTTTATCGCCTGAATTTTGAATCAATCCACAATTAAATTTCTGGTAATGTAGATACTTTCCATACTAGAGATGTTAGTGAAGTTTTTCCAACAATTTAATTTCCTTGATCGCCGTCTTAAAAATGCAAAATCATCAGTTGAAATTTCACTCGTGTTGTTTTTTCAAATTTTCGAATTTTTGTAAAATATCGCGTGCGCCAGCAATTTCTCTGCACAGCGACAACAGCTGGGAAATTTGTTGCGCATGCGCCAGATTTCTATTGAAACTTGAAGATTTCCCCGAAGAAATGTTACGAGATGTTCGTGGTTGTTGTATATTTTTGAATGCCTGTTTAATCTTTATACTTTTTTTGCTTGAGACAAAGACAAAGTAAAATGTACTCTACGTTTCCAGTGTATAGAATCTCGTTTGAACAGCAATAGAATATTAACAAACAAGAAGACATTTGACACGCTATTTAAAATCTGTAGTCATGCCCGACTGAGGTATAAAAGCCAATCGTCGCGAGCTTGACAGCCTTGTCAAACGCAAAACAAGTACAAATTTGGATTCAAACAGAAAGAAGTTCAATATTAATACAACTAACATATATTCTATACAAATACGGGTGGTTTGAAATGTTTTCAATTGAATTTTCAAAGCTTTAAATTTTATCTATCGCTATGATAATCAAACTGTGAACTTGATGCCGCAGTTTTGTTGACGCTTGCGAATGCAAAATAACTTCCCGTAAACAGAGCATTTCTACACAAAACTCTCGCTTAGTCTTCTGATGCACTTGTACGTTCGGTTCTACTAGTTAAACAAGGAAAATATTCAAGAAACACTGTTAAATTATCGTTGTCAAAAAACATTTCAGTGCTGAGGCAGTACAAGGTCTCAAGGGCAAGGTCAAGTTGTCGATTTCATTACATTTTACAGTACTTCGGAATGTTTTCGAACTCTTGCTTCATACAAGAGCAGTAAACGCACGCATTTCAAAGCGAAATTAGACGCAAAGGGGCAATTTTTCAACAAAATTCATTGTTAAATTATGTTTCTTATGTGCATTGGGAGCACAAAAATATGATTTTAAATTTGGAGGAATCGGTAAATTTTTTTGCAATTTGGCCTGGTATTGCACCCTACCTATGTAATGACTGTGCTGTAAAAGTAATCAAATATACTATTTTTAATTTCCCTTCATTGAAAGGATCTACTATTGTGGACTAAACTAAATTTTAATCAGCATACAAGACTGCAAACAACAGCCAAGAATTAGCTGGGTAGTTTGCAAACTTTAAAAATAATTGGACCTCAAACTTTGATCCCCAAAAGTAAACAAATGGCCAATACTGCGAACATAATCCAAGTTTTGACCACTAGGGGCAATTTTTAGATGTAAAAAAACTTGTTTAAAGGATAATGGCAATAGATTTTTTTATTCCTGATATTGGTAAAACTGGACCCCCTGATTACGAATATGCTATTAGTTTTCATCAAAAATGCTTTGTTCTCGAGTTATTTCACCGTAAATATTCAGTACGTCCGCCATCTTGGATCGATTTTCAAAAAATTATCTTTTGGGTCACATGACCTGTGTGACGTCAAGAGCAGGGTAGAATCAAAACAACAAATATATTTTATTAGGCGCATATTGCGACTTCGTACTTCTAGTGAAAAATTTGGCGCTTTTTGATTACTCGGATGGAAAATATCCACGATACCAAGTAGATAAGGTATTACCTTATCAATTTGAACCTAAACTGGGCTTAGAAACAAGCGATAGCGGTGACGAGAGCGACTCCGAAGAACAGAGTGAATCGTCTGACGAGGAAATCACCATGTGTTTGAGGTCGAAAATGCTTGGCGCATTGCACATTGAAGCCAAATGATATTGAATTGTTTTGTTGCCACGATAAAGCGTTAGAATACGATGAATAAGATGTATGATTGAAGGAGGCTGAAATACAGGGGGAGAAGTGCTTGACTGCCTTTACAACACTGTCAACACATGCAGAATTCAAAGCGAACATGCTGTCGGAAGGGCTATTAAATAGACGTTTGTCGCAATCTTGAAGATATTAAACTGGCCTCTGGATGACAAAGATTTGGACAAGATACACAAAATTTATAGACTAGTAGCTTACCAACGATGTTCGCGTTGGGTATTTCAGATTTTGGGGAATATTAAGAACAGAAGGCCACTTCCTGCGTGTGTTTACACAATAATAGACAATTGCCATTATAGAGTAATTTTAAAACTAGGCAAGGAGATGCAAATTATAAATCACCACAGCTAGAAAGAACATACTAAAATGAGTAAAATTGCAAAGTTTAGTTGCGAAATGTTGTAAAATGCAGAACATATAGCCTTGCAAAGTTCGCAAATTTTGTATACTTTTGTATTGCGTGCGGAAATTGCTACATTTTCGGCCCAAATGTGGTAGCAATTTCCGCACGCAATACAAAAGTATACAAAATTTGCTATGTTTTCCGCATTTTACAACATTTCGCAACCAACATTTGCAATGTTACTCATTTTAGTATGCTCTTTCTAGCTGTGGTGATTTATTTGAATCTCCTTGTCTAGTTTTAAAATTAGTCTATAATGGAATTGTGTATTCGAGAGCGGTTTGGGGCTTTGAGAGATTGTGTGAATGTTCATTTATTCAAATTTGGCTAAATCTATGCTCTTAATAATAACTCTAGTATGTGCCGATTACATGAAGCATTTTCAAGCTTGGGGATAAACTCGTTTACTGTTGACAGCGTTGGAATTTGTTCAATAAAGTAGCCCTCGGCCTGGGGTGCTCGAAACAGGTTTGAAATTTAATTTTAACCTCGTTTTTGAACTCAGCCCTTTGGCTGAATTTTTTTGTTTAATAAAAGTTTCACAAAAAGACAGAGCTGCCATTTCTGCGTAGTATTAAAACAAAGCTGAGTGAAAATCCAAGGTTGAAGATGCTCTAATTCCTCTGATGCAATCAGCTTTATAATGTGCAGCATGCAACCCCAATTTTCTACAACAAATGTTATTATAATTTGCATGCAATTGTCCTATTATCTAATAAAGTGCAGTGGTGTATATATTAATGCTTTATTAAAATTTAGTTTATAAACAAAGTTGTTCTCTCATTATTTATATCACAAAAACATCAAAACGATTTTTACACGCGAATTGCAAAGAATCAAAACATATTCTCAGTCATTAATGGTGTTTATTTATGCGATATTATTCCTGTTGATGTGGTCATAGCCGTGATCACCGAGAACAGTAAATATAAAGTCTACAAAGTAGGCGAGCATATTGTCATATTGACATAGTACCAGACTATGCCTATGGTAATCATTTATAATCAAAGCGCTTTTACCGCCGAAATCAACGCGTTTATTTTAAAAACACAGCTGAAACACACAGTAGAGTAGTAGCGCTAAATTTTTACGCAGTTATACAAAAAAATTTGGAGTTTATTCGCACATTTTGGTCAAAATCTTCGTAGAATGTGTTCGCAAGCATACTATTTTATATTGACAATATTTGTTTCCCCTGCTCTTGACGTCACAAATTTATTCTCACATAAATTAGCATACCAGGTTTTTTTCAAGATGGCGGACGACTGTCGAAAGTTTTATGATATTTCTGAACAACTAAACGCGATAGACAAGTGAAAATACGTAATTAAGTATTCCGTAGGTATGTTTAATAGATATCGAGAATAAAAAAATTTATTGCCATTGTCCTTTAAATTACATATCAAACAAAGGCAAAACAAAATTTGGTATTAATTTTTTGGAGGAAACGTCAAGGTTTTTTGCTACCGCGCACGCTTCTACACCCCCTCCCCCAGGACCTTCTCTATCAGAAAACAGTTTTCTGCAGAAACTATGCTTTTTTATCGGGAAAATTTTTACTTTCTCAAAAAAATACTTCAGAAACACGGAAACCTTAAATATTTAAATAATTTTCATACCTTCTTGGGATTGCAAAAAGCAAAATTTGATTCATTACCACACTTTTTAAAATATATGTGACAAAGTTGCTTCGAAATCACTATCACGCAGTAGCATGTTTATTTACCCTCATCCTTTTGACTGAATAAGTTTATCTTTTTGAAAAGCTATTGTTTTATAGCTCTTGGTTAGCAGTTTACGTTTATGTCGATTTTGGCACCCATGAGGCCAACAAGTTATGGTAATCCGCGAATGAAAACTGATATTCGAAAAGCACAAAAGCCAACTCCTAGCTATGTAACTTTATCGCCTGAATTTTGAATCAATCCACAATTAAATTTCTGGCAATGTAGATGCTTTCCATACTTGAGATGTTAGTGAAGTTTTTCCAACGATTTAATTTCCTTGATCGCCGTCTTAAAAATGCAAAATCATCAGTTGAAATTTCACTCCTGTTGTTTTTTCAAATTTTCGAATTTTTGTAAAATATCGCGTGCGCCAGCAATTTCTCTGCACAGCGACAACAAATTTCCCAGCTGTTCACAGCGACAACAAATTTCCCAGCTGTTTTTGCAAGGACCAATATTTCCTTACTGCAGGGAAAAATCCTTGCAAGTGGAAGCACTGGACCTGGGCACGAGTTCAGGATGTAAACAAAAAAAACTTGGCAAAAGTTTTGCAAAATCATCATCGATCATGCAAATCAGACGATGCTTTTGTCCCAATGGCGAAAAAAATCATTACAATTTTGTTCCACGACTAGAAGATGTATCTTTGGCTTAGCATAGGTAATCCTACGTGCTTTATTTTTGTATTGATGTATTGAAATTTGTTTATTTTCTCCTGATCATTTCGCTATTAAATACGTCTTATATAATATAGGTATCTGAATGGTGGTGTGAAAGGGCATATCAATTGTTTTGTGACATGTCTGGTGAATTTCGTCGTTCTTGTAATTTTAAAGTATTAACGAAACCTCTTGGGAATTTCTTTGTATTTTTGCTCTTTCATCATGGCTGCGAATTCCAGTCGCTACCACATGGCTACCTTAAAAATAGTTCTTGTTGGCTCAGAAGCAGTTGGCAAAACGAGCCTATTAATTCGTTTTCATCAGAATACTTTTCCTAGCTTATACGTTCCCACCGTATTTGATTCGTATTGGAAAGAGGTCTCGGTCGACGGCAATGAATATGGCCTGCTTTTGTGGGATAATTCTGGCAACGACGACTACATTCGCTTGCGTCCACTCTCATACCCACAAACTGACGTCTTTCTCGTGTGTTTTGACATCAATAACAGGGAATCGTTTGTCCAGCTGCAAAATACCTGGCTTCCTGAGGTGAAACGATATCAACATGGAACCCCAATAATTATTGTTGGTAATAAGATGGATATAAGATCAGAAAGGTGTGTGAGCTTAATGCATTGACGCCTAACACTTTCCCTATACAAAAGTAACAAAACAAGAAAACCATGTTCTGGCTGGCATTTGATGGAGGGGGAGGTGAGGTGGTGCACCCCAACAGGTTGACCCCCACCCCAACAGGTTGAAATTTCCATGTACAAAATCCTTTATTTTAAAAAAATCAACAAAAAATCCTATATATACCTGACCATGATACTTACCACATTATTAGTGATGGCGATACCAGAATTTTTTCTATTATCTATTTCGAAACGTAAATAAACACAAAATTTCTATTTTCTATACCGGAAATGAGTACTTCAATTATTTGCTAGTATTGGTTACTTTTGATACCTGTTGGTCAGCGGGAAAAAAATATTACTGTATGTAACCTAAATAAAGCTATAAGTAAACCAAAAGCACAAAACATAATAAATATTTCTATACATGACTTTGCGCACCACATTTTGAATATTAAGAGTTATTTTAGTGGTTTATGAGTTTCTTATTCATTACCAATAATAGCCTGCGAACAGGCTCTCAAGCTGAATTGAGAGCCTGCATCGATGACTAATGAATTTGAATATCTGCCCCATAACGTTCGTTTTTCCAAATATGGAATGTCTATCCTTATATGGTGTTGTTTACAACTTTCGTGCAAACTAAATTTAGACCGTGCAAACTAAATTTAGACCGTACAGTTTATACTGTTTTTCGAAATATAAGATATTCAAGCAAAAGTTCAAATGTTTTAAATACTGTTTTCTCAAAACAGAACATTTTGTGCTTTGGGAAAGATGGCCAAGACCGATTTGATCAGTTAATGTGTTTTTTATGCATAGTGCTTCAGCAGTTGACATATATAGAGCTCAGCGGAAACATATAAGTTATAGCATCTGACCAATGAGAATTTTGCGTCACGATTTGAGACGCAGATATTCAAATTCATTAGTCATCGATGCAGGCTCTCAATTCAGCTTGAGAGCCTGTTTGCAGGCTATACCAATACCTAGTGAAGTTAAACAAATCGTCTAAAAAGGGTACAAGTATCAAATGATACCACATCAGTAAGCCCGCTGTGTGTGGTATTGTTGGTATCAAATACCGAGTACTTGGAATCGCCCATTACGATTCACTACTTGTATATACATGAACTGGTGGTTATAACTCGAAAACTGTCTCTCTGTAGCTCAGTTGTGTAGAGGGCTCCCCTAGGAATTGCAGGGCCGCATGTAGTTAGCCCATCAAGTAAGTAAGAGAACAAAGTACTGTCAGTATACTGTATACAGTATATGGTGTGGTAACAGGCTCAGCACGAGGCTTCATGCTGCAATGTTCGAAATCTGCTTTCAGTTTGAATTCCCGAATCCTAACAAACTGTGAATAACTTGTATTCTGACTAAATACACTACAAAATTTCAAACCTTAAGATAATGTTAATTGTAGATGGAAAGACACTTCAACTATTATTCAATCGAATTTTGATATTTACCCATAACCTAACATGGCAGTACCCTACACATGAATTTGTAGTTAGACAACTGGCCTCTGTAGCTTGGTTAGATGGCTGCACTGGAACTGTGTCTTACAGGGTCCTGCCAGGGACCTAGCTATATGTGCATTTTTAGCTTCTTTTCCGGCCATGTTGGGTCTAATAAATTAATTAATGTATATAAATTTTCAATCAATAATTTCCATCTTATACATACCCTTCAACTATTATTCAATCGAATGAGATGCCGACAAAATCTTGATATTAATTTACTCATATTTGTATGTAACTTAGCATGGCAGTACCCTACATGAACTTGTGGTTAGAGTTCGACAACTGGCCTCAGTAGCTCGGTTGGAGCACTGCACCGGTATCGCAGGGCCACAGGTTCAATTCCTGCCAGGGACCTATAGGTGCATTTTTCGCAGCTGTTCCTGGTAAGTCTAATAAATGTATTTTAATTTCCACTTGATAATTTCCATCTACAATACCCTTATTATTCAAGGAGTAGTATATTATATACAGGGATGCCGGAACTGGGGGGGCAGCTGCCCCTCTTGCCTTTTGCTAGGAGGGGCAAGGAGGGCAGAAGTGCCCTTTGAGTTGTAAAATACTACCTGATAAATTACATTTCCAGTGATGCTTTTTGGGCAAAATCATGAGGTGTGATCTTGAATGTGACCTGATTAAGTGCGTTTGCTTTCATTGGCAAGTCAACACATAATTGTATCGTAGGTTTATATCTTCACCAGGGTCTATAGAGGTGCCCTTTGGTGTACGTTTGCCCCCCTTGCCTTTTTATCGTTCCGGAGTCCCTGATTATATATAAATGAACTTGTGGTTATAGAGCTCCACAACTGGCCTTTGTACCTGTAGCTCAGTTGGTTGGGTTTACCATGCCCCCCCCCCCATACCCTTTAGCATCACCCCTGTTTACATGGAGTAAATGTATGTAATCCGCTGTAGAAAGCACAGACTGCCTGAACTTCAACGTTTTATTGATGTTTTTAATATATTTTCTCTAACACTAAAAGTAAAGACAAAGTTACTCCATTACAGACTTGCAGCGATTTATATTCGGAGTGTTTATAGACATTAGCTAGAAGATTAAAAAAATCGGCAATCTATTGAAATTGGGAATTTCATCGACATTCAGACCGGATTTTTTCTCCGTGTTTCATATCTGATGAGAATGGCCTAGCGCCAGCTGAGTTAATAAAATTGACACTTTTGAAGTGCAAGTCACTTCACTCACTTGACATTGTTTTGCGTACTAAAAACAGACAGATATATATTTTAGGATACGTGACATCTTCGCAACACTTATCTGATACCCAGTTTTACTTCAGCAAAGTTTGAAGTTGAACAATATTTTATCTAATGCTGTATATAATATTTACGTTTTTTGCTGATCTAAATTGTGAAATTACTGGCTATAAACGTAATTTTGAAAACGGCGCATAAAGCCGAATTTTTTACTCTAGCTAACACCCTGATATTTCACCAAATGATAAGTAGACGTCGCAAATCGATAAATTGCTGTCAGATGCGATGACTGATGGCTAATTTTGAGAACACTGGTGATTCTGAAAATAAACTTTGAAAATAAACAGCCTTAAGTTTTCACATTCATGCAAATCTAGTGCATGCTGTCATTTTTTGGCAATGGGTCAGTGATCAGCTTCTTGAGCATTTCTGCCAAGGTTTGTGTGCATTGTTATATTTTAATTAATTATTGTCGGTGCTAACTTGTTCACTGTCTACTTGGCGGTAACACTATACACACTAACTGTAATTGTAATTGTAATTTGTAACATTTTGTAACTCAGTATGAGACACAGGAACTGAAATTTACATTATTTTGTTTCTACTATTATTAAATAATACCACTAAAATACTGTAGTAGATTCTAGCCCCGTTTACACTACGCTCAATTTTTGGTACAGCACGGATAAAATTGGTATACCCGTACCACTTTTTTTGGTTCTTGGACTATCTATTTAGCTAAGCCCCGTTTACACTACGCTCAATTTTTGGTACCGTACCGCTTTTTGGTTTTTGGTCCTAAATAGGTAGTCCAAGAACCAACAAAGTGGTACGGGTACCAATTTTATTCGTGCCGTACCAAAAATTGAGCGTAGTGTAAACGGGGCTTCTGAAGTTTCCTATTCCGTCAGAAGATCCGCTCCAGAGTCTTATCCAGCATCTGAAAGTTTGGTGTCCAAATTGGCCATTTTGGGCCATCATAGCCATGGTAACTTAGAATAACAAGCTTTCGTTAGTAGGGATGCAACTACCTGAAAAATACAAGGAGAATTTCGACGTTTCGAGCGAAGGCCCTTCGTAACTTAGAAAATTACGTATACTTTTGTATTTGAGCGAAAACATAATTGCTACATTTTTAAAACCACTTATCTTTCTTTTAAACAACTCTGAAATTCCCTGAAGTAGCGATAGTAAGTGTATTCACATAAACTCTCCGCGAACGACTTGAATGTTTTACTGTGTTGGCGTGGTCATGAGCTGTGAAAATGAAGTAAATAACGTAGCAGTTTGAACAACTACTGCGTACTAGAATGCTCAAGGGAATGCAAATTACAGTCACCTTTGTCTTGGAGCCGAAGATGCTATTGTTGATGAGCACGTTCGATTCTCGTCGTTTTTTCCAAACTCTCTAAATTTAAACCCTTTGACGGAGGAGGGGACAGAGTATTCTAAAGGGCTAAAGTTGTAGTATTTTTGAAATAGAATGGTGCGAGTAGCCGGTGTCCCAGTTGATTTGGACCTCTGTAGATTTGGACCTCCGGTCCATTTGGACCCCCGATCTAGATATAACTAGCTGAAAATATAAGCAGAACTTCAACATTTCGAGCGAAGGCCTCAAACCTCCCGACAGACTGGGCCTTCCTTGAAAATGTCAAAGTTTTGTCTATATTTTCAGCTATAGCTAGTTGTATACCTTTAACACCGCACCTGTCTCTTATCGTCTACCCACACTGGCACCGACAGTTCAAGTCCTTAAAAACTTTTTTAATGTGAGATGTGAGCAATCTCCCATGAAGCACCTCAAAGGTTCATTGATCAATGTTACTGTATGTCATGATTTTTTAATGTTTTCGTTTTCTTTCTTTCTGGATTTTAGCCAGCTTGAGAATGCTGCAAATGACTTTGTATTACATGTGGAAGGCGTGCGTTTGGCTTTAAGAGAAGGTACTTATACTGTGGAATTTGTTAAATTATTAATAATGTACGTGAAAAATGATGCCAAACTAGCCTGCGAACAGGCTCTCAAGCTGCCACACATGCTATTCGGTGCCAAAAAATGTAATCCGTTTTATTCTAATTCATGTAATATAACCAATTCCACTTGATGAAATGTTCACTCATGTTCGTACTAAACATCAATATAACACCCGCTTGGCTTCTAAATCTTCATATTGCCTTCCAAAAATTCGAACAAATATGTTATTATTGGCACAGGCGCTACTGGCACGTTTCCAGTTTTCATGGCGTCTGAATTACTTACAGTATAATAGTAGAAATTTTCGCATATTTGCCAAAGTGAAATTTTTGAAAGAAAAATGGAATGTCTGAAAACGAAGCATCGTGCGAACGAAATAAAGTTTCCATTGTACTTGTACTTTCTTGGAGTCTAAATATACCCGCAACTAAGGTCTTCTCATCGAAAATTTGAAATGATTTAAATGAACGTTTTGAAAATAATGAGCGTGTGCATTCCAAAGGTAAGAATTACAGAATTCTGTTAAATGTATTTCGAAATTGGATGTATCTATCTACAGTGTAGCGTTCATTGAAACGCAATGTCGCATTGGAGGAATCTCGTGGGAGACAAAACAAAACAGTAATTAACATTTCTTAGATTTAAAAGATCAATATAAGATCCGGGTCGGATTTTGAAGGGAGATGTGAGGAGCTTTGTACCTGCCCTGAAGTAATTTTTACCTCTCCTAAAAAGTCTGCACCTGACTATGATTGTTCAGTTTACTCCCCATTGGGGGCTTTTCAAACTTTCGACAGTGCGTTCACAGACACTTCTCACATGAGTCGAGAACCGTATAGAGAGCGGTGTAAGGCGCTTGCTACGACGACTGCACAATCGAAGCCCATGCAGGAATGGTCAACGAATAGGTCAGAGTGAAAATTTGACTCAAACTTGACACTTTTGTACTGTATGTGTTGCTTAGGGTCCACACTTTGTAACATTTTTTTCTGTGAAATTAAAGAAGTAATAGCCATTAATTTCCGTGTCAAGTACCCTTTCAGTGCAATTTTCGAAATTAATTTTGTGCTAATGTGATGAAGGATGAAGTGGTACAGTTATAAAATACATTGACACATATGTACAGTACTGCAGCTACGTTATAAACCCGGTTAAATTTAAGCCCTGGCCTTAAACTTTCCACCTTCCCCAGCATATTCACCAAAATCGGGCCTTGAATACGATCACCTACAGTACTTTATTCGAAACAAATTCGAAAATTTGAAATCCCAGTTTTTACTATCCTGTCGATTTGCCTGGGCCTAGACTATATATAGAGCGAGTCTCTCTCTGCAATATCAGCGTTAAACAGGCTTTTAGCCAGAAGGGCGTCCTGAAAAAATGGACGCCTTTGGACGCCCAAAATCCTGGGGAAAAAGGGAAATTACAGTATTTTCAATTTTTTTTTCCTTATTAAGTATATTAATATATCTGAAACGAAATAGCTTCAATTCTCATTATTGTTATACATTTCACATTTTGATCAATTTGATGGTGTACCTGGCTGATTGAAAATGTCGTAGTTAATAAGTAAAGAAGCATAGCGGCACAAAGCCAAGTGAGCTTGGAAAATTTCGAACGAGCTTGGAACAGATACTGACATGAAGTAACGTAAACTTCAAAGGTTTTCCAGAGGAACGTTTTTTCAACACCCTCCCCCCCCCCCCCCCCCCCCCCCC